CTGTAGGCGGATATCTCAATCCTGTCCAAAATTTCGAATGGTTCGATGAACCAAGGATTCAACTTTCTCCTCTTTCCAAACCTAGTGATGTCCTTAAAAGGGATGACCTTAAGAAATACTCGATTGCCTATTTTAAATTCTAAATCTCTGCTTCGAGTGTCCGCATAACTTTTTTGTCTACTATGGGTCGTTTGAATATTTTTCTGATCTTGGCAATCTTCATTATGGTCTCATCTACAAGATCTTGGCAAATCAATTTTCTATCACCCATTTTTTCTCAATAGATCGATAACCTACAAGGTCGATCATATAATGCTTCATACGAAGTCATACCAATACTTGTCTAATAACTATTCTTGTAGGCAAATTCTATTAGGGGTAGGTGGTCGTCCCAGTGCCCTCCAAAATCTAGAACACAAGCTTTGAGCATATCCTTCAGTGTGTGAATATTTTGTTCTGATTGTCCATCTGTCTGATGGTGGAATATTGTACTAAGAGAAAATTTTATTCTCATTACTTGTTGAAGGCTTGTCCAAAACCTAGAAATGAACTTGAGGTCTCTGTCTAATACCACTGTCACCTGAATTCCATGCAATCTGACTATCTCCAGAATATAAATTCTAGCAAGCCTGGCTCAAGAAATATGTTATTCTGATAGGCAGGAAATGGGAGGATTTAATGGGTCAATTAACAATTAGTCAGATCGCATCGTATCCCGAGCGTGTCTTAAGCAATCCTGTTATAAAATTCATGGTGATATATTCTCATTTTCATTTTGGGATTGACAGCGACTGAAGTAGCATGTCTAAGTGTTGATGTTCTACTTTGACTTATTGGCATATAAGCCATTTAGAGACAAAATCATCAATTTTTCTTTTCATCCTACTCCACTAGAATCGGGATCGCATGTTTTGATACATCTTGGTGCTCCCTGGGTGCATGATGTCGTTCTTCAACTCTTTATCACTAAGGATACACAACCTATCCTAGAACCTGAGTAACCCATCTTCGAAGACTCAGAACTCTGAATTCAAACCCTGTTCTGTGTCTTTTCTGAGAGCTGCTAGAGTTGAATCGTCTAATTGAGCCTCATTTATTCTCCGAATTAACTCAGATTGGATTGTTAAGTAAGTTAGACATGTGGCCTTTTTTAAGTCTTGGAGTTGGATATGTTATGTGGCATTTATCATCTTGTACTCAAAGACCATTATATGAGCTAACATACTTGCATTCTTCCTGCTGAGGGCATCGGCTATTACATTACCCTTGCCTAGGTGGTATAAAAGTCTTACAATCGTAATCTTTAAGGAGTTCTATTCAACGCTTCTAACGCATGTTAAGGTCTTTCTGGATGAATATATATTTTAGGCTCTTATGGTCTGTATAGATTTTAAATATTTTTTCATACAAATAATGATGTCAAATCTTCAACGATGTGAATGATGGCAGCAAGCTCCAAGTTCGTGGATGGGGTAATTCTTTTCATAAATTTTCAACTTCACTAGACCCCTATAAGTATATGACTTTTTCTGTCCCTA